GTCTCAGGGATTGAACACAAATCAACAGGCTTGAAGACAATCACCTTTACCTGCTAACCCACCTCTCTGGTCACACACTGCTTTTTAAAAACAAACATCAATGGAGTTCTATAATAATTTTTAGAATGTTCCCAAATTCTCGTGTTTGAACCCCAGAAATACCCTCAAACTGTCACAAATGACAGTGTAGAGCTGGGAGACAAGGATCAGGCTTAGGATCTAAGAAGGTTCCCCCTTGCCTCACATAAGAACCCCTGGCCAGGTGATAAGCAACTATGAAATTTAAATATTTAGAAACAAAGACTTTTCATTTGCAGATTTTCAGCCACAACAAAAGTAGGCTTAGATATGTACATGTCTGCATAATTCAGAGAAGAAGAATTGATAATGTTCACTGATCTTTTCAAATTCCAATTCTGGAGCTGTGAGGATGGCTCTGCAGTCTTTGATGAGACTCTTAATAACTAGGAGGAGCAGTGAGATGTCTCCACAGCACTGCAATCAGCTCCCCTTCCTCCCCTCTTAAATGCAGCTATGAAATGCTGTCATTTTTCATCAGAGCTCCATATGTTCAATAAAGGCAGCCAAAAGATAAGCAGTCCTGACCTGCCTGGGAAAGAGTAAAGTGTTACATTTGGTTCTTTCTTCCCTGTCTTTACAGTTACAGGATGGTAGCTCCAAAAATGGAGATGAAATCCAGGGTGTGGGTCAGGGCACTTCCTCAGGCACCCCTACAGGCCTCCCACTCCACAGGGGCAAGATCCAGGACACAGCTTACATGGGCTCCAGGGACCTTAATGAAGGTCACTGTTTTCATGAGGGACTGCACAGCTCCACATTTCCTCAGTACTAATAATACTGCCTTATCATGCTTGCTTATTAACCTACATGCTCCCTTCCTAAAAGGCTCTCAGAAAAGGGTGGGCAGAGTCCTTGGGGGGGTGCTACTTCTGGGAATGCTCTAACAATATGTACCACATAATAAACATTTGCTCCACACCAGACACCATGCTAAGAATACTTTCCCCTTACTCATAACATTTAAAGGTAGATATGACAAGTCCCATTTTATAGATTGGAGAAGCCAGTTGCCCTAATTAGTTTTAACTGTCAACTTGACAGAGTCAACCGAGAAGAGGGCCTGGACTAAGGAATTTCCTAGATCAGATTGGCCTGCATGCATATCTATGGGGGATTGTCTTGATTACTAACGGGTGTAGCAGGGTCTAGCCCACTGTGGGAAATCCCTGGGCAGGTGGTCCTGGGCTACAGATGGAAGGTAGCTGAGCAGGAGAGTGAGCCAGAAAGCACCATTGGTTCCTTCCTTGGCTTCCCTCAGTGATAGACTGTGAATTGGACATGTAAGCCATATAAAAGTTTTCCTCCCCTAAGTTTCCATTGGTCATGGAGTTTGTCACAGCCACAGAAGGAAATCAGAACATGCCGTATACTAATTTGCTTTTCTGTTACTGTGATGAAAAAAAACATTCTGACAAAAACAACTTTGGAGAGGAAAGGGTTTATTTCAACTTACTTTCAGGTCACAATCCATCATTGAGGGAAGTCAGAACAGGAACTCAAGCAGGAACCGTGAAGGAACGCTGCTTACTGGCTCACTCGCTGTCTTTCTCAGCTAGCTTTCTTATACAGGCCAGGCCTACCTGCCTAGGGTTGGTACCACCCACAGTGGGCTTGGCTTTCCCACATCAGTCATCAATCAAGACAATGTCTCACAGACATGGTCAAAGGCCAATCTGATCAAGGAAATTCTTCAGTTGAGGTTCCTTCTTCGCAGGTGACTCTAGGTTGTTGACAACAAAAACTAACCAGGAGGGAGGGCTTATAAAAAGACGACCAGTTACCCAGGGTCATGCTGCTGGTAAGAATCTTAGGATCTGCCCTTCCTTCCTTTCCTTCTAGTTAAAGCTCTGCTTCTAACTAGATTCCAAACATAGACGAAAACAGGATGACTGAACGAACCTAGGGAGAGCTGAGCCAGCTAGTGTTATGATTGTTAAGTGATGGCTCCCTTCATCTCTCATGGGAGAATAACCATTCTCCAGTGGCTGAAGTCAACACTAACACCTGTTGCAGAATTCTACTAAGTTCATTTCTCTTGGATCAACTTTCTCATCCATCTGTTCAAGGTTGGGAATAAGGGGGGCAAATAAAGAATCTGTAATATGAAGGCATTACTGGAAGGTGGTAGAACCTAGGAGGCTGGGCCTTCTTGGAGGTAGCAGGTCACTGGGATGGTTCCTGGAAAAGATCTAACTGGTTGCTGGCCCCTTTCTGTCTCTTTCTGCTCCCTCTGGCTGCCATGAACTAAGCAACCTTCCTCACCCACTTGCACCTCCTGCCAGCACAATGTTCTTTGCCTCTGGCCTAAAAGTAATGGAGCCAGCCAATCAGAGACCAAAACCTCAGAAATCAAGAGCCAAAATAAACCTTTACTCTTTTCAATCGTTTATCTTAAGTATTTGATCATAGTGACAATAATTCTAACATAGCCACTCACATTAAATGCTACCAAGACATGACATCAAACTATCAAAATATGACTCAATAAATGACTAAATAAAGGCCAAAAGAAAGACAGGTGGGGAGCAGATATTGGTATTTCCTTTGGATCTCATTTAATGATTAACTATTTGGTATTTCATTTCCTCTTTGTGTGGCTAATTAGGTTCTGAGTCTCTAGAAAACTAATTTGGTCAAAGGAACTTGATTTAATTCTGTCCCTAGTAATAAATAAAAAACTTAAAACAATTGCAGTGCTTATGAAAAAGCAACAAAATACAATGGTATTATAGTCTTACCAAACCATAACGGCCCATAGTTCGAATAAACCTATGATTTCTCTCAACTGAATCATGAAGGTAGTATAGGCCTCTTAGTTTCTTGAAACTTAAAACTGCCTAGTTAAAGCAACACTCAGTGGAAACTAAGCACTTTTATATACACCTTGATTCCCACAGAGCTGATATAAAAATGATGCTACAAATAGTAGCTAATAAAATCCCAGTGCACACACAGATTCCTGAAGTCATCAGTTAACATGACACGGATGCAGGAAAACATTCCTAACAGCCTGCAAGCGAGGACTTCGGGGAACTCTTAGAAAGAAAAAAAAAAAACAAAACAAAACACAAATGCAGCAATCAAGAATTGAAAATGAATGTATATGATGGTTTGGTGACAAGCTGTGTTTGAATAAAGAAATTAAAGATAGTAAGAACTTGGAGGGGTCCCTAACTTCACAGTGAAGATTTAGCTACACATCAAAAAAAAAATGAATATTCATCATCCCACCTGAATCATACACTCTGTAATGAGATCACAAAAATTAGCCAATTATTTTCACTCTTAAAATCACACACAAAAAAGAGTAAAATTGCCAATATGGATCTATTCAAAGCTTTTTTTAACATTAGAAACAGGGAATATTCTCCAACTAGAGGGGCCACCTGTAACTAAAGTCACTGCAAAGGAGACAGCACTTCTCTTAATGTGGCAGCATCACAGCCCAGTGTCTGTTCTGTTGTAAAACGCAAACCCATCAGGAACCTCTGTGCCCCTTTCTCCAGTTCCCAGGGCTCTGTGGGGACTAGAGGCTGACTGGCTGGGGACCCAGTGAAACAACAGCAGCTTCACAGAATGCCTCCCTTGGATTCTATACATGGCTCATACCCCGGACTCCCTGCACACAGGTCTCCCAACAGATGCCACTTAGTCTCAAGTGGGCACAAAAGTTAACCTAGGAGGCACTTGGAAAATCTACAGTCAGAAATGGGGGTAGGGAACTGAGGCTGTGTATAAGGGGAAAAAGAGCAAAAGTCAAGGCCACAATCAGAGTCTAATACTTATTAAAGACAAAAGTAACAATCACAAAGAGTTTTAAATAACTTTAACCTAGCAGAAGAAGGACTTTGAGCAGAGCCTGCCTGCCTCATAATAGATTATGAGCAGCTCAAAGAAAAACTGCCTTAAAACATACTGCTGTTTTCTAAGTCTGGAGGAAAAAGGTGACTAACTTTCACTGAGGGCAGATTGGGGGTGGGGGGACAGCATAAGAAGCTGCAAATGTTGGATTCAATGAAAGCAATGGAAATTGATTTGGAATATGACTACAGTGCTTTATCTAATGGCTACTAATAAATAAGAAGATATTCCCTGAGCTGACAGAAGGATTGTTGCTACCAGACGCACATGTATTTTCCCCCCAGATAAAGTCCCTACAGTGCTAAGTATTCTTTTTAAGCAGTAGCAGTGTGACATCACTCTTTTCCTCTTCAGGATGAACATCTCCTTTCACCTGTCCCCAGATGGACTAATATACATATTTTCTATTGAAACTTCTTTGAAAGTGAACAGTTTAGAAACCTCATACCTGGTAAGTCAGAAATTGTTCATCACTAGTGAACAAGAACGTAAAATGAAACTGCCCATCCAGCACACTCTAAGTAAGCAACACTTTCAACCTAACATCACCACTGTTATTAATAAATAATAATAAAAATCACTGTGCCGTGATATGCAACTATCACTGTTCCTATGGGTGATTCTGGCCCAACGAAGCTTAAGAAGATGCCCCACACTTTCTTTGGCAAGAACACTAAATAAGTCTGTTTATCCCTGTCTTAGAAATCTGCCACACATGCCCCCCACCCCAGAAGGCTACATCTGGGCTGATGTAGAGAAGAGAGCGCACCGGTACAGTCACCACCTGCCTGGTCCCACCCATCATTCTGGAGCTGCGAGACCCGGAACACATTACAAGGGTCCCCACTGCCCTCTCCTCTACTCCCCGAAGCCCTGCCCAGCTGGCGTCATTCCAGGAGATCTGAAAATCAAACAGCCCCTTAAAGGAAAAAGAGGGAGAGAAAAGCAGGAAAGGACTACCAATTATATAACAATACACAACAGACAGAAAATGAAAGTAGTCAGAGAAGGTGCTGGGGGAAGCGAGGGGCGCGCGGCATCTGGGAGCCACCACTTACTCGAAGGCGAAGAAGAGTCCGCTGGTGACCAGGATGAGGATGAGCGTCAGGTAGAAGACGCCTGTCTGCCGGGCCATCATGATCCTCCCGTTGCAAAAGAACTTGTTTCTTCCCGGGAACACCTCCCATTTCCTCCGGGCCGCGATTTTCTTCTTCTTGTGGGGCGACTCCATGGGGGAGGAGCTATGGGTGCTGATCTGACTGTACTCGCAGTCTTTCATGGGCCCGCCGCCGCCGGGAGGCATCCACGAGGGCAGCCGGCTGGGGGCGCACACCCCCAGAAGCCCCCCGGCCGCGCGGGTCCCACCGAGCCACGGCCGTCCCCGGGCCCCCGCCCGCCCGGGGAGCCGCAGCGCCGCAAACCCTACACCGGCTCCCGGCTCGGTGACAACTTTGCCGAGGACACCCAGGTTAACCCCTTGGAAAGCCCAGATGTCATAGCAGAATCCGCTTTCGGGAAGGATAGTGTTCGTTCGCAGCCCGCGGCAGCGGTCCTCCGTGGCTTCCAGCCGGTGGCTCGGGTCGCGGAGGACCGTCCAGGAGAACCCCCGGGTCGCCGCGCGCCCGGCCGAGGGTTCTGCCGCGCCACCCTGGAGCTCCCCGCTCGCGCCCGGCTCACCGCGCCCCGAGGGGACACCAGGCGACGGTCCCCACGCCGGCTTCCCCGGGAGCCACTTCTGCGCCTCGGCCAGGTGGATCCTGCTCCTCCCTCCTTCCCCGCGGCAGATCCTCCAGCGAGAGAGCGCTGCACGCTGGGCGGCAGCTGGCTGCACCGGCAACCCCTCCCAGGGGTGGGGACAGCCACGCGCGTTATTCTGTTAGGAGCTGCTCCGCCGGAGCGCGGGCTCCGCTCGCGCCTCGACCCCGCGTCCGCGCGCCCCGCAGCCCAGCCGAGTCCACGGCTTCCCGCGCGGGGCTAGGGCCTATGACGGCGGAGGTGGCCCCCGGGGCGCCCTCGCTTCCTTTTGCCCCGAGGAGCCAGCCCCTGCGCAACGAGGGCCGCCGAGGGCCGCGGGCACACCGCCACAGACACTTGTTTGCAAGGCTCAGCCAGGCGCGCGCGCGGCGTTCCGAGCGGGTCCGCCTCCTCAAGGCGGGTGGGCGGTGGCGCCCGCGCCTTCCCAGCCCGGCTCCTCCTCCTGCTCCTCCTCTTCCTCCCCCTCGCGCGAAGCCTGGGCACCGGCTCCCCGGGGTCCCAGCCCCAGTCCGCTCGGGCCGGAGCCCAGGGATCCCTGACCCGGCGGAAGGCTCCGGCGGTGACATCCATCTGCGCCCCCAGAGGCTCCGCCCCGGGATTATTCCCCGCAGCAGCTGCGCCTCGAGACACGTGCATTCTCACGGCCACTCGCAAAGCCATTCCTGCGACTCTGGGGACCTGAGTAGCCACGGCGAAGTGACTCTTCGCGGTCGGCCCCCCGCCGGCTCTCCCTCCCCAACGCCACGGCTGACCGATGCCACTGATGGCCAGTGGATAGGGTGGAGTGCCTGGTGGCAGGGTGACGAGCAGCGGCCAAAAGCAGGCCTGACCTCCAGATGGGGCTCCCAGCTCAGAGGGCAGGGAAGAGCAGCGCGGTCTGTGCTCACAAAGTCCCCCTTTCAGAGTGAAAGCCCCTTGGAGCAGGCTCTGGGTCACTGCCACCCCGACTCGTTCCTTCTCTACTTCTCCCCCACAGACGCTCACAGTGTGCTCATTTTATTTTTCCCATGCCCCCCTCCCCGTAGAGTCCCCATGCAGTAAAGGGACCGCACGACTAGTGGATGCTCGGAGCGCTTCCCCGCATCCCAACCTGACAGTGGGGTAGAACTGCGGGGGGCAAGCCCAGAGGGCAAAGATCCCCAACTGCCTAAGCTCCGCTGCCCCTCCTGGGGGCAGCCGGATGGATGGGCTTAATGGGGTGGGTATTGGGGAACTGAGAGCAAAGGCAGCCAGGGGGCAAAGGCTGGATTTCCTGAGCTCTAGTTTCTTTTCGCTGCCCGCTGGGATATGTAGTTCCTCCTCTCGCGGTACGGCTCTGGGAGGAAACAGGACTTGGGAACCTAAAACTACAAGTCCCTGCATCCCCTGCGGTGAAGGCGGGAGAGGTGCTGGGCATTCTAGTGTTTGGTGGTTGGGATGTGGAAACCAACAAAGACGGTGATGGGAAAGGTGTCTCCTCTGCGCTGGGTGGGCACTTGGAACACGTCACGCATTCTCTGTGTAATCCTCGCCACAACCCCGAGAAGCGTTATTATGCCCAGCTCAGAGAAATTTCTTGCTCAACATCACAAAGCTCCCGGGTTACAGAGATGGCACTGAACCCGGAGCTCAGGGTTTCCCTCACAAAGCACGCCTCAGTGCGCAGAGTCAAAGGGAGAGAAACTTGGCTATCCAAAAGGGGAAAATAAATGGAACCAGTTGGGAAGTGGTGGGGATGGGGATGGGGATGGCTATTGGATTGGATATGAAGTCACAAGAAGTTAAAATTATAAACAAGTTCGATTCTTAGGTAAATGGATAGGGCTTTTTATTTGGTTGGTAGGTGGGTGGGTGGGTGAGTGAGTAGGTGGGTTTTTGGAACAAGTTCTCAGTACTGTAACCCGGACTGCCTTAAATTCGAGACTAGCCTAGGCTAGTCTCCAACTTTGATTCTCCTTCAGACTTCTGCTTGGTGGGATTACAGACATGTTCCACCAATTCCAGCAAAGGACCTTAAACACACACTTGGAATTAGCCTTTAATTATTTGAGACATTGTATGGTAGGCAAGCATTTTTCAGGGATAATTAAGTACTTTGTGACTACTATTTTTAAAAAACCAACTGGCACTCCTCTGACATTTCTGTAAGAGCTTTTGTGTTTTCTTATCCTTTCGCTGATGGGCTCAACAAGATGCTATTCTATTTGTTGCAAAACCCTTTTCTCTGTGTGTCCAATTAATAGGTTAAGTCTACTGTCTTAAAGATTTTAGAAAAGACACCCTCTCTTAGGGTTGAGAGCGTAGCTGAGTGGCAGAGTATTCACCGACTCTTAAACTGAACTTTTCAGCCTTGTGGTTATGCTTATTTGAGGCCGGAATGGTGGCATACTCCTTCAGTCCCAGCACTTGGGAGGTAGAGGCAGGCAGATGTCTATGAGATCCAGACCAGCCTGGTCTACATATTGAATTCCAGGCCAGCTAGAGAGGAGGGGAGGGGAGGGGAGAGGAGATGGGAGGGAGACTAACAACCATCTTTAGCTTCAGTTCCAGCGAATCTAACACCTTCTTTGGGCCTCCATGGGCATTTCACAACATAGGTGCACTTATATACATGTAGGCAAAATACTCAAATGAAAAAAACATTTAAGTTTATAAAAAAAAATAAATAAATAAATAAGAAATTATTTTAAAGTCCTCATCTGTTAGAGACACATACTGAAGTATTTTCAAGTGAAATGACAGTCTAGATTCTGCTTTAACACACTCCAGCACATCCACCTCCCAAACACATGGGAAGACTGGGAACTGTTGGAAATTGTTGACATTATGTGATATACCTGTATTTAATTATCCATTGCTGCAAAGTATCACCATCTTAATGGGCTTGAACGCAACAGAACTATCCTACAGCCGCTGTGGTTCAGGTCTCCAAGTCCATTGAGAGTTCTACTGGCACCTACCATCAGGGAATCAAGGCTGTGCTTTCATAATCAAGCAGAATTCATACAATTTCTTGTTGGTTGTCCACTGGAGACTCTCTATAGCTCCATGTGGGTACCTGCGGTTCCTAGAGATTACCTGTAGCTCCTTATGGCTTTCCCAGAATGGCCACTGAACTTATTAAGCTAACAAGTAAAGTTGGATAACAAGGCAGGCTCTGATATATCAAATATACACTTTCTTTTAGCCAGAAAGCAAGTCACAGTTTTTACACAGATGCAGGGGGTAGGAATCATTCACCGCTATGAACACTGGGATAAGGCTGTGCACCTAAGTGTGTAAGAGGGTCCATTATGCCACTCTAGCCATCACATGTACTTATCATTATATCTGGTATTTCCAAATAAAAATAAATTATTTATTTTAAAATTTTATCTAGGGTGTTGGAGATACAGCTCAGCAATCTCTTGCTGCTCTTATTAACTATGCAGTTTTACCACCCACCTAAAGTAAAGCCTCCATGGCTGTGGTGACATCTTTGTCACTTAGGGCAAACAGCTGCCCTCCCTGCTTGTTGGCGGTATCTTTGATGCCAGTGGTCTTTCTCTGTTCTTGGCTGACTTGGTGGACCCACTGGCAACAGGGGTTGTGTTATAAACAAAACTGGAGTTTTCTTCCTTTCATCTGAGCAGCTCAAAGCATTCCACAGCCCTCCTCATTAGTTCTTGGATACCTTCAGGCAGCCAACAGAGGATGATCCTATCCAGTATCCAAGGTAGCAAGCTTAGGTCCTAGGCTATCTCGTGGATACATCTCAGGGTCAACTCCAATGTGTACACAGGGCAGGCAGGTACCTAAGGGACAAGGTCCTAGGAGAACTCTGAAATCAACAGGAGATTGCATCTAAGCACTCTTAGATTACAGGAAGTACTTTTGTAAGCTTCGATTCCAAATAAAATTCTCTAGAAAATCAGACACTCTAATTCCTTCTAACCCCAAGAGCTCGTCTGTTCACATTTGTGTGCAAGCTCAGCATATCTCTAGAAACAGTTAGTGTTAAAATACAATACAAATACAGTATGTTTAAAGCAATACAGTCAGCACTATAGAAAATCAAAATGAGGTAGGGCAGGAAAATTTTAATGTGAAAGTTTCTTATAATTTTTCCAAGTGATTTTTCTATCTTTTAACTCCAAAAATTATTTTAGTATGTTTATAAACATAATGTATGTTGAAAAATTATATAACACATAAATGGAAGGAATATAAGATTATTCAAATTTCCATCACTGAAATAAAACTCATTAAAATCATCCTTATCTAATTCACTTTACCATATGTACACATATTCTCAAATCATTTAATGAGACAGGGAATCATAAACCTGCTGTTTTCATTTCATACACTTTTATTTATTTTTTTGATGTGTGCGTGTGCCTGTATATGTGTGTATGCATGTGGAGGCCGGAAGTCAAACTAGGGTATCTTTCTCAATCCCTTTCTTATTTTAAAATTTTTAAAAATTTTATTTTATGTGTATGAGTGTTTCACCTGTATGTATGTAAATGTACCCAAATGTGCAATGCCCACAGAGGTCAGAAGAGGATGTCAGATCGTCTAGAACTGGAGTTACCAACAGCCGTTAGCCACCATGTGGGTGCCGGAAACCAAACCCAGGTCCTTTACAAGAGTAGTCAGTGCTCTTAACTGCTAAGCCATCTCTGCAGCCCTATTTTTCCTTCTTAGTTCCCCACCCCAACTCTTCCCCCAAAAGACCAGTGTTAATGATTTGATGTATATTCTTTTCAGTTATATTATTATAAAGAAAGAGAGAGAGAGAGAGTCAGAGAGAGAAACAGTTTGCGTTACCCTTTTACCAGTTACCCTGAAACTATCCTCTCTTGTTCACCTTCCCAGCTTAGGACCAGCCCAGGATCACACACTGCACTTAGACCTCAGGCTCCTTTGATAGAGAGCATTCTTCCTCCTTTCTTTGAGTTTCTTCATCTTGGCGTCACAGAACAGTATGCCATGTATTTTGTAGCTAGTCTATTGGGTTTGTCTCCAGTTTCTTCACAATCAAATTCAGGGACAGGCTTTCACCAAGCTCCAGATGTGTTGCACAGGAAATGGTGCCGTACAACAGGCAAAGACACTGCCTCTGACCTGTCCTGGTGGCTGAAACTTCTTGCCACTGCTGCAATCTGCCTTCTGTTTCTGGGCCTCCAGTGCTTCTCAGGATAAGAGCGGGTGAAACAGGCATGGTTACTACACTCTGCCTGCACTGGGTAAAGCTGAAATGTTGTACAAGTACCACTGAGACTGGCACCCAGAATGCAGGTGCTTGTTCCCTGAAAAGCCAAAAGGATGCATTCCATTTCCAAGAAGCACAGCATAAAGAGATGCAAAAGTTCCAAATGATCGTGTTGATGAATTGTGGTATGTGCAACAGTGGCACACCCTGCGGGAAAAGGGAAGGGTGTTGTGAGCAGTGAACGGCAGTTCTGCCCGTGC